CAGTAAGATAGATATAAATAGATAGTAAGATAGATGATATAGATATAGATACATGATAGATAGATTGATAGATGATAGAAGATAACTAGCTGGCTAGATAGATAGATAGATAGATAGATAGATAGATAGATAGATAGATAGATAGATAGATAGATGCTCAGATAATCAGAGTTGGAAGGGACCTTGTAGGTCATCTAGTCCAACCCCCACTCAAGCGGGAGACCCTACACAATTTCTGACAAATGGCAGTCCAATCTCTTCTTGAAAATCTCAAGATAGATAGATAGACAGACAGACAGACAGACAGATGATAGGTAGATGATAAACAGATAGACCCCTGTACCTAATGAAATGCATGGGTTAAAAGATGCATGGGTTATGTTACAATACACTGGTCAAATTTCCAAAGACCAAAACAGTTTGTAGGCATTGCTTTGGCTACAATTATTTAAGACAGCCACATATCTGCATTCTTTTTCAAAGGAAGATTTCTAGCAATCTTGTTACAGAGGAGCAAAGAATGACAGCAACGTTTTCAGAAGCTCAAATGCAGGGGCCTCTCAGGGAAAGTGTATCCCAAACTTCATCACCAGGCAGAAGGAAAATGTGTAAGGAAGAGGCACGTACCAGTTTGAAATAATTTTAAATTCCTAGAAGGAAACAGAGAAAATTCTCATTTTGGTAAGGGTTAGGTTTAGCATTAGCATTTGTGTAATTATTAGCATTAATGCAAATGTTTACCTTATTCCTTAAAATAATTCACTGATAGCGCCTTTAAGATTCCCTTTTGACTTCATTGTTTCTATACAACAATTTCAATCGTCTAAGCAAACTTTCAACTAAACTCTCAGCCTCAACAAGTTATGCCATAGACCAGGGGTGTCAAACTCAAGGCCCGTGGGGTGCTTAGATCTGGCCTGCGGGGTTGCCCTGGAAAATAGCGAAGGACTGTCCCGCGGTGCCTCTGCCGGTGAAAATGAAGCTTGCGAGGGCCATGTGTGGCTCCTCCTGAGCTCCATTTTTGCTGGCAGCGGAATGCAGGACGCCATCCTAGCCGAAAACAGAGCTCGGGAGCCCGTTTTCGCTGGAAGAGCTCTCAAACCACCACAGGCACCTCCCAAACACAAGTGACATCATGCTGGGCACACCCACCTTGGCCATGCCCCCCCCCCGAGCCCCCCAAAGGTCAAACACAACCCTGATGCAGCCTTCAATGAAATTGAGTTTGACACCCCTGCCCTAGAGGAATAAGCATGCTGTAATATTATACACACACACAAACACAGACAAATCCATAATACAAGAGCATTTCTATGAAAGTCCTCACCTTCAGACATTCTTCAGGGAGCTGCTTACGCAACTTCTCTAGGTTACTGACCAAGCTGTTGACTTGGGTCATTTGCTTCAAGAATTCAGCCTCTGGCTGATCACACTTTCTCTCTATGTCTCCAATCAAGGTGTTCAGTTCGATGGTATTGGCGGTGTGCCTGGCGTGATTTTTTTTCTGGTAGTCCAAGATGTTGATTTTCAGTTCTTCCAAATGGGAAAGTAGGAACTGCATTTGATCCTTCACAGCCTGGTGGAACTGCTCGAATTCCCGCACCAATTTGCGACGTTCTTCTCCTGGCTTTTTCTGCAGATATATCGTGATTGGGATTGTATGTTGCTGAATCATCAGATTTGACAGCCACTCATGGCAACGTTAAAAAACAGCAAACATCCAAAAGAAGCAAAAAATATCCACCGTAGTAATATGTCCAAAATTAGCCACCACTGAAAATAACCCATAACACAACATAGATAATCCTCGAATTACAATGGCGATGGGGAATAGTGGTTGCTAAGCAATGGGATCATGTAGCATAGTTTGACATAATCCCATTGCTTAGGACAGCAATCCAGGCAGTCCAAGTTGTTATTGCAACTCCGAGACAAAGTAGACATTAAGCAGGAAGCAGGGGTCTCAAGTAAATACTATGTGAGGCAGTGGTGGGATTCAATTTTTTTTACTACAGAACGTAGGCGTGGCTTGGTGGGCGTGGCATGGGGAGGATACTGTAAAATCTCCAGTCAGAGGTAGGATTTGCCGGTTCTCCGAACTACTCAAAATTTCTGCTATCGGTTCTCCAGAACTGGTCAGAACCTGCTGAATACCACCTCTGATGTGAGGGTGGGGGAGGCCTTGGGAAGGGTCTAGGACAGGGGTATCAAGCTCACGGACCATGGACCGGATGCATCATGCATTGGCCACGCCCACCTGCAGTTTAGCGAATGGGGAAAAAAATCACGATACATCACACGACGAAGATGTGATGAACTGATGATGTGAGTTTGACACCCCTGGTCTAGGACAACTCACCACAGTCAACTTGCTGCTGCCAACTCACCACGGCCAACTCATGATAGCAATAGCAATAGCACTTAGACTTATATACCGCTTTACAGTGCTTTACAGCCCTCTCTAAGCGGTTTACAGAGTCAGCCTATTGCCCTCAACAATCTGGGTCCTCATTTAACCAACCTCGGAAGGATGGAAGGCTGAGTCAACCTTGAGCCAGTGAGAATCGAACTGCCAAATTGCAGGCAGCCGGCAGTCAGCAGAAGTAGCCTGCAGTACTGCACTCTAACCACTGCGCCACAGTGGCTCATGATGGGACAATTCGCCAGCCAAATTGCTGCAGAACAACTTGCCCCGGGACAAAAGTTGCATCACCTCAAAGAAATTGTGGAATAGAATCATTAAAGAAAAGAGGAACCAAGTGAAAGATAAAGGACAAAAAATGTAAATATTTTTTAAAAATATTTTAAATAATTAAATAAAATGGTTGAATTGTCCCGTGACGAATTGGCAGCGGTGAGTTGGCCGCGGCAAGTTGTCCCATCCTGCTTGGGAGGTCCAGTGCAGGCTGCATACAAGTTGTGGGATAGGTGGTGTATGTGAGCAATCGAAGTGAGAAGGAAGATGCGGCACATATGAGCAAACAAATAAAGAGGGAGAGGCAGGGACACATGCATGTGGGAAAGGAAGGTGTTAGTGGAGGCACACGTGGGAACAAAGGCGAAAAGGAAGGCGCTGATGGATATATGCGTGAAACCGAAGGGAATGGAAGATGCTATGGATGTGTATGAGCAAATGGGGCTGAAAGGATGTGGTGCGGATGAATGAAGAAAGGCCAGAGCGGGTGTGTCAAACCTGAACCTGATCTGGCTGAAGCCATTTTGAGGCTTCAGTGCTACCACACTGGAGCAAGAGATAAAGAGGGAGGATTGCAGATAGCTAGGGTTGTGTAGTCAAAACAAAATGCTTTCTCTTGAGAACCAAGGACGTTCTCACACCTGGCCGGAGGAAGGAGGAGTGATGTCACCAGACCAGCAGAGGCTGCTATGATTGGGCCATGTGACTGATTGTTTGAGATTGGGGGGGGGGACTTTTATTTTTAATTAGGTGAAAATCGAGGGGCCCCTTCAGAGTCGGTTTTCACTAGATCTTTGCAATATGATATTTCCAATAAAGCTGTTCTTTGAGGAATCCACCTGCCTCGGAGTTTTTGCTTGCAATGGATCTATTACTTGACAGGGTGGAGGAGACCTACTGGAGAGGCTTGCGACCTTCCCCACTGACTCTGCTTTCTGGGAAGCCAGTAGGAAGGTTGCAAGTGGCAATCCTGTGATTGCGGGGTGTTTAGCAACTGTTCGTAAGTACGAAATGAGGACATTGCAATGGCCATAACTTTGGGAACTGGTTGTTAAGTCCCTTCATTCAGCATCATCATAACTTTAAACAGACACTGAATGAATGGTTGTAACTCAAGGACGGCCTATGTGAACTTGTAAAACCAATAATAACGATTTCAATCCAAGAAAAATAAGACATAAAGCAGGGTCCCCCAATCCCGAGCCTGCAGACACAGGGGTGGGATTCTACCAGTTCACACCTATTCGCTAGAACCGGTTGTTAACATTCTAAGCAGTTCGGAGAACCGGTTGTTAGAAGAAATTACTGGCCTAATCCTGTAAGGAAGGTAGGAAGGAAACATTCTGGTGTTGCTTACAGGAACTGCCTCTCCGTTAACCCTTATTACATTCTTGGCAGGACTAGACTTCCTGTCTCAGGAACATCTCTGGAGTTTTTTCCCCCTCCTTTGCTGATACTTTGCTTGTGTGGAGTGACCATTCAAAGTTACAATGGCACTGACAAAAGTGACTTATGACCATTTTTCACACTTACGACTGTTGCAGCATCCGCACAGTCATGAGAGGCCAGGCGGGGAGATGCCTGCCTCGAGGTGAGTGATATTGAGTTGGCCACACCCAGCCAATAACATGACCACCAACCCATGTCCACCCAGTCACATGACCACCAAGCCACACCTACCACCTCAGCCACACCCACAGAACCGGTTGTTAAAAAATTGAATCCCACCCCTGTGGAGACGGGTACTGGTCGGTAGACTATTACAGCGATGGCGAACTTTTTAAGCACCGTGTGCCCAAACTGCAAGGCGTGCGCACCCGTGCATCCGCAGCTAAGACCCAAAGAGCAGCACACATGCGCATGTGTGGCAGAAGACCAGCTGGTTGGTGGGAGGTCGGGCATCCCAACACCGGCAGTTCTGAAAGAGGTGAGATATTTTTTATTTGTGAGCCATAGGTTCGCCACCACTGCTCTATTAGGGACCAGTCCGCAGATGTGAGTAAAACTTCACCTGCGCATGTGCGGGATCTAAGCAGCGCATGAAAACACGCCCCTCTGGTTTCCCACAGAAAAATTGTTGTCTGCAAAACCAGTCACGGGTGCCGAAAAGGTTGGGGACCACTGATGTAAAGCATCAATGTGAAGGAACCAATGAAAGCACAGAGTTCACATTTTGGAAATAATATTTGTACTCCGTGTTGGTCAGATTACCTCTCGTATCTAAGTCTGGGCACATAACAACAACACGGAAAAGGTTCGGAGAGGAGCAAGAAAATGATCAGGCAGATGGAAAACTGATCTCCTACGAAAGGAGATTATAGGGAGTTTAGCTTTTTCCCAGGATTGGGAGGGAACATGGTAGCACCCCAAGAGTTTTTGAAGGAAGGACAACCAAAATTTCAGAGGAAGGCAGGAACAATGTTGGCAAAGGAATTCAGGAACTGTTAGATAAAAGTGAAGGTGAGGGGTAGCTCAGTCCTTTACAAGGAGGCAGTCCTGGACAAGGAGGCTTACTTTAGCTCTACTCATAGCTAGAGTAAGCCACTTTGTTGTCCCAAAGTTTCTTTTGCAAAAGGCAACTGGACTTCCTTGGTTTTTTGTTTTTTTTTTACTTTGAAAACATTGTGCTTCTCATCCAAAAAGCTTCTTCAATCCTAGAACTGAAGAAGCTTCTTGGATGAGAAGTGAAAGCTTTTCAAAGAAAAAAAAAAACCCCAAGAAATGCAGTTGCCTTTTGGAAAAGCATCTTCGGGACAATCCCGACCTGGATGATGGAGAATCTCCATAGACATTAAGAAACTTTATTGTCCTCTACCTAAGTTATAAGAATCTTCCTGAGCCATTTGCCTTCCACTGGGAACAAGCAGATAAGGCTTTATGGATCTTAGGGAGAGGCCAAGCTCATGCCTCTTGCAGCTGTGCAAGGACTCTAAGCTAAGCCCCGACTTGACCCCTCCTTCCGGCCTAGCTGGCGATTTCCCACACACCCCGCCCCCTGTTTCCACAGAAGCTTCCTCCCCCTTCCATGTCTTCTTCCACTTCTGAATTCTCAAAAGAACCTGGGAGGAGTGGGAACCATGCCACTTCAAAGGAATCGTCTGAAGTCCCCATCTGTAGAATTGTCTCGGTCAGGGGGTGCCTCCTGCAAAACATCTAGACAACTAGAAAGTCCACCCTTTAACTTTTTGGAAGAGAAGCCCTTGTCTGCCTGGATGCTTATTGCTTAAGCAGAGGTTGCCTTTTGCTTCCTACGGTAAGAATATCCGTGGAGCAAAACTGTAGTGTCAAGATATCCTCCAACTTATATTTATTTATTTATTTATTTATTTGATTTGCCAATTGTTTACAAGATCATAAGTATAAGCGTATACATAGTTGTGAATACATGAAATGGGTACATATAAGAAAAATAAAAGAATAAGAGAAACAATAGGACAGGGATGGTAGGCACGTTGGTGCGCTTATGCACGCCCCCTACAGGCCTCTTAGGAAAGGGGTGAGGTCAATAGTAGACAGTCTAAGGTTAAAGTTTTTGGGGTTTGGGGAAGAGACTACAGAGTCGGGTAGAGTATTCCAGACATTGACCACTCTGTTGCTGAAGTCGTATTTCCTGCAATCAAGTTTGGTGCGGTTAACTTTGAGTTTGTATCTATTGTGTGCTCTTGTGTTGTTATGGTTGAAGCTGAAGTATTCATTGACAGGTAAGTCATTGCAATGTATGATTTTATATACTATACTTAGATCGGACCGAAGACGGCGTAATTCAAGGTTTTCTAGGTCTAGAATTTCAAGTCTGGTGGCATCAGGTATTCTACAACAGGTAGAGGAGTGGAGAACTCTCCTTGTGAAATATTTCTGGACTTTCTCAATTGTGCTAATATCAGATACGTAATGAGGGTTCCAGACTGATGAACTGTATTCGAGTATTGGTCTAGCAAATGTTTTGTATGCTCTGGTTAGTAGTGTGAAATTACCAGAGAAAAAGCTACGTAGGATTAGGTTAACAACTCTTAATGCCTTTTTGGCTATGTAGTTGCAGTGGGCTCTAGCACTTAGATCATTAGAGGTGAGTATTCCAAGGTCCTTTACAGAGCTTGGGTCATCAACAAGATCTTGACTATTCAGCTTGTATTTTATTTTCTGATTTTTTTTGCCAATATGTAAGACAGAGCATTTATTTGTTGAGATTTGAAGTTGCCATTTGTTTGACCATTCTGATACATAGTCGAGATCTTTTTGAAGGGTAGCAGTATTGTCTGTGGTATTGAACAGCTTTACATCATCAGCGAAAAGAACGCAATTGCTCTTAATATGATCGCAGAGGTCATTTATGTAGAGTATGAAGAGAGTTGGTCCTAGAACACTGCCCTGGGGGACACCACTATTGACAGGTACTGGATTTGATAGGACGCTCCCGATTTTGACCATTTGTTGTCTGTTTGACAGGAATGCTTCTATCCAGTTATTCAGTTGTCCAGAGATACCATAGGATTTTATTTTTAGGAGTAGTTTGTCGTGTACCACTGAATCAAAGGCTTTACAGAAGTCTATGTAGATTGCGTCTATTGCTTTGCCCTGGTCGAGTTGTGTCGTCCATATGTTTTTGCAGTGTAAGAGTTGCAGATTACAGGATAGTTTTTTTCTGAAACCAAATTGTTTATTGGAGAGTAGGTTGTTTGTCTCTAAGTGGAGGATAATAGATTGGTTAATAATTGATTCCATGACTTTACAGGTGACGCAGCATAAGGAGATTGGCCTGTAATTTTCAACTAGGCTTGGGTCTCCCTTTTTGAAGATGGGGATGACTGTGGCTTGTGACCATAGGTTAGGCAAGGAGCTGGTTCTGAAAGATTTTTCAAAGATTATGCTTAGAGGTTTGGCTATGGCAGTGGATAGCTTTCTTAAGAAGTAGGCACATATTCCATCCGGTCCAATAGATAGAGATGGTTTTAGATTGCGTAGTGATTTTTCAACATTGTCTTCTGTGAAATCGATATGTATTAGATCATTGTTGTTATCTGTGGTACGGCTAGGAAATACTGGGCATGATCCATTGCTGTTTACAAATACTGAGCCGAAGAATGTGTTAAAGATGTTGGATTTAATGGTGTCGTCGTTGCAGTCTTTACCATCAGGTCCTATCAAGGGAGGGATGGACCTTGAGTCTTTTAGTTTGTTGTTTACAAAATTGTAAAAAGCACGGGTGGAATTGGTGCTTAGAAGGTTTTCCTCTTGTTTAATGTGATAATTGGTGCATTCGGTCTTTATCTGGTGGCATAAATTTTTGTATCGGTTTTTGAAATTGGCAACGTGACCAGATTTGTTTTTCCGCCAGAGTGATCTCTTTTTGGATTGAAGTTTCCTTATTGATATGGGTAATCTGCTTTTTTGTTTTGTTTTCTCCAACAGTTTTTCATATACAGGTAGTCCTTGACTTATGGTCAGTTACAGGAGCTGGGCATGGCTAGTCTAGGGAAGAGAAGGACCAGGGGAGACATGATAGAAGTCTTCCAATATTTGAGGGGCTGCCACAGGGAGGAAGGGGTCAAGCTGTTTTCTAAAGCACCTGTAGGCCAGACAAGGAATAATGGATGGAAACTGGACAAGGAGAGATTCAACCTGGAAATAAGGAGAAACTTTCTGACAGTGAGAACAATCAACCAATGGAACAACTTTCCCTCTGAAATTGTGGGAGCGCCATCACTTGAGACCTTCAAGAAGAGATTGGACTGCCATTTGTCAGAAATGGTGTAGGGTCCCCCGCTTGGATGGGGGGTTGGACTAGATGACCTACAAGGTCCCTTCCAACTCTGATGATCTGTTATCTGTTATCATTTTGTGATTGTGACAAAGTTACAAGAGCACTGAAAAAAGTGACTTAGGATTGGTTTTCACACTCACCCCCTTTGCAGCTTCCCCATGGTCACATGGCCAAAATTTGGACGCTCATGTATTTATGATATTTGCACTGTCCTGGGTTCACACGGTCACCATTTGGGACCTTCCCAGCTGGCTTCTGACAAGCAATGTCAATGGGGGAAGCTGGATTCGCTTAGCGACTGCATGATTCACTTAACAACGGCAGCGATTTGCTTAATAAGAATAAGTCACCTTGAGGTATGATGGGCGGCCTATAAATTTTATGAATAAATACAAAACAACTGTGGCAAAGGGTCATAAAAGGGGATGCAACTCATTTAACAAGTGCCTTGCTTTAGCAACAGAAATTTTGGACTCAATCGTGGATGTAAGTCGAGGACTATCTTTACCCAGTGAAATGCGGCCTGCCACTTCCCTGCGCTTTTTGTTAGAGCTCTCTTCACTACCAAAGCGAAGCATAGAAATAACCAACGAAACCGAATAAAACCAGAGGTACCTACCCACAGATTCTGAGTGCTCATTTCAACATGCTTCTCATACATCCTGGCAACTTCTCTTCCCTTTTTCACGTGACTCTGGATTTCAGCCTATTAAAATGTCACAGGGAGGAAGAGGAGAAGAAAATTAGATTTGAGGGTCTAGAAGAAACTCCAGGGATACAAAAGAGCATTGTAGCTTCTTTGACCGTGTGTCTCTCTCTCTTCCCTGTGCACCACAGAAGCAGATGACCAGAGGTGGTACTTGGCAGGTGCCGACCAATTCTGGAGAACCGGTAGCGGAAATTTTGAATAGTTCGGAGAACCGGTAAATACCACCTCTGACTGGCTCTGCCCCCATCTATTCTCTGCCTCCCGAGTCCCAGCTGATCGGCTGGGTCTTCTTTTGTTGCCCTGCACGGGAGAACGGAGCTGGAAAGCAGGTTTGTGGAGTGGGGAGGGAATGGGGATTTTACAGTATGCCATGCCCGCCAAGCCACGCCCAGCAAGCCACACCACGCCCACCAAGTAATGCCCACAGAACCGGTAGTAAAAAAATTTGAATCCCACCACTGGACCAGATGATTTAGTTTTGGGGTCCTGCATGGTAACGTATGCATAATAAAGACAGGATGATCTCCAGAGTTCCCAATTCCCAGTCTTCCCACTTCTGCAACTAAACTTGTATGTAGCATTTGCCAAGCCTGTCTGCCCATCTTCCCCTCACAGGTCTCTATGGTTCACCCGGCTTTCCGCCTATACGTGCCAAAGTAACTTCAACAACCAAATCACATCTCTTGCAATGGGAACGAGGTGTGAAAGGGTTCCATGCAGCCATTTTGCTAGTTTATTGTGATTACCAATTTTGTGTGTGTGTGTGTGTGTGTGTTTGTAATAATAAAATACTGAAGGATAAAGTACATTAACATTTGCAGCCTTCCTTCTCTTTTCAATAAGCTTCACCAGATCTGAGCAGTTGTTTAAGACAATAAATTCCTCTCTATCTTTCTCAAAGGTCAGAATGCTGACTTTGCAATAGATTGTATGTGTTAAAAACATGCCAAAAAACCATAATGATTAAGTCATGCCACAAACCGAGCAACAACCTTAGGGCTTAATCTGATAGCAGCAGGATACACACAAAACAGTAAAATAGAATGAGCTTATTATTGCTTAACTGTGGCCTTTGTGGACAGTAAAACCCTGATTCTGGTTTACAGATTGTACAAACCTAGCTATAAACTTCATCATAAGTTATTAATCCCATTTTGTGGAGTTGCATAGCCACAATCTGGCTGAAGCCCACACAGCCATTTTGATGGACGGGGACTGCAAAACTGGAAGAAGCTGCACGTGACATCCTAACTAACTCCTATGCTGCTTACCTCCCCCTGTGGAATCAAACCCAGGACCCAAAGCAAACAATCGAGGCATAGTGTGGTACAGGTAGTCCTCAAGTGATGACCACAATTGAGCCCAAAATTTAGGTTACTAAGTGAAACATTAGTTAAGAGTTTCCTCCATTATACCACTTTTCTTGCCACTGTTCTTAAGGGAATCATGGCATTTGTTAATTGAATAACCTGGTTGTTAAGTGAATCTGGTTTTGCTTGTCAGAAGGTGATCACTTGATGATCCCAAGGCATTGCAACCATCATAAATATGATCCCAGTTGCCAAGCATCTGCATTTTGTTTCATGTGACCACAGGGATGATGCAACAGTCGTAGGGGGTGAAAAACAGTCATAAGTCACTTTATGTGACTTATGACTGTTTTTTTTCAGTGCTGTTGTAACTTTGAACAATCACTAAATAAAGTGCTGTAAGTCGAGGATTGCCTGTATTTATTAGACAGCATGCACTAGTGGGAATCCATCCAAAAAATATTGAGTGATGGTCCCTCGCATCAGAAAGGGATGCATTCATAGCCAGTTTGTCCTAGTGGTTAAGACACCAGACTAGACAGCTAGAGACCATGAGTTCAGGTCCCATCTTAGCCATCAAGACCAGCTGGGTGAGTTTATGTCAGACCTGCCATGACTTAAACGATCCTAGGCTCCATTTGTTGAGAAAGGTATATAGTTTTATTAGAAGTCAAGGTAATTGCAGTATTGCAAATCCAGAACTGAACATCGCACTCCAAAATCCCTAAGTTCTACTTTTCCCTCCCTCGCCTGCCTCTCATTGCCTACTCCCAGTGTAACTGATAAATTCGGGCAAGATGTTTTCCTAAAGGCCAGTCCAAGCATACTTTGGTATGCGGCCCCCTCCTTCTTCTAGCTGGGTGACCTTGAGGCAGCATCTGGAGAAGATACAGCCCTTACTTTCGTTTCCCCTCAAGTCTCCCACTCTCCCCACAGTTCATGGCAGTGTCACTGTCTAGCAAAGAGGCACAAGCAAGCATAAGGAAGCAGCTGATACTTTGGGCCAGTCACACACTCTCACTCCAACCTACCTCACAGGGTTGTTGTTCTGGGAAGAATAGGATGAGGAAGGTGTGTATTAACACCTTCTGTAAGCTTTGAGTTATTTATAACAATAATAAAGGCATGAAACAGACACACAAACAAAGAAAAGTCTTAGAAAGGCAGGAGAGACTACTAATGCATAAACAACAGATGATGAAAGCATACTTGTTCATAAGTAAAGGATTTCAAGTTACTACAGAGGAATTACTGAGTCTATCATCTGCACCTCTATAACTGTCTGGTTTGGTTCTGCAACCCAACAGGACAGACACAGACTTCAGAGGATAATTAGGACTGCAGAAAAAACAATGGCTACCCACCTGCCTTCAGTCGAGGACCTGTATGCTGCACGAGTCAAAAAGAGGGCTGTGAAAATATTTACAGACCCCTCACATCCCGGACATAAACTGTTTCAACTCCTTCCCTCAAAACGACGCTATAGAGCACTGCACACCAGAACAATTAGACACAAGGACAGTTTTTTCCTGAACGCCATCACTATGCTAAACAAATAATTCCCTCAACACTGTTCAACTATTACAAAGTCTGCACTACTGTTACTATTAACCTTCTCATCACTCCTTATCACCCATCCCCTCCTACTCGTGATTCTAGGACTGTAACTTTGTCGCTTGTATCCTTACGATTTATATTGACTGTTTCCTAGTATGATTTGATTGCTTATTGTACCCTATGACTATTATTAAGTGTTGTACCTGATGATTCTTGACTCTTGATGAATGTATCTTTTCTTTTATGTACACTGAGAGTATTTACACCAAGACAAATTTCTTGTGTGTCCAATCACACTTGGCCAATAAAAGTATTCTATTCTATTCTATTCTATTCTATTCTATTCTATTCTATTCTATTCTATTCTATTCTATTGGTAAGGGAGTTCAGGTTATTTCTTGTGCCTGTTTTATTTCAGAAACCAAAAAAGAAGGGACAAAAGCATTAGAAGAATAAATAAAACAATACAACGGGGAGGAAAACATCTACCATAAATCAAGAGGAGGGGGGGCAGTTTGGGAATGCTGGATCTGGAAAAAGAAAAACATTACCCACTGCAAATCTATGGGATTGTTCTAAAAAGATAACAGACTCTGGCTTTATATTTCTATGTATCAATTTGCTTTAATCGATTCAGCTAATCTAAAAAGGGATTCCCCCACCCCCAGCCAGCTCCATTCCTCCACAGAGCAGCTGTTTTTATGTCAACGGGACCTTATGGGAAGGGGAGGTGGAATGTCTTGCTCCCGTAATTCTCTCCCACCCTTGCAGCCCAACAAAATAGCAGAGAATAACCTCAGAGTTTCTTTTGTTCTGATGCTGGTGGATGCCTCTTGCTCAGGTTGAAGGAAGGGAGGTTTACTGGAAGCTGAGACTCAACCCAACCTTCCTTGCAAGAATCTCCTCTGAATGGGGGAAAAGACTGAGAAGGTGGAGGAGAAGTGGTAGAACTACCCTGGGCCCTCAAGGGCGAGCTGGATAAAGCCACAGCAGTTGCGGTTCTCTTCTTCCTCTTAATAGCAAAATCAATACCTATTAATACTCTGGAAAATGATAGATGATGCGCTGACTGGAAACCCCGATAGACATTTTGTATGAAACAGAAAAAAATGAGCTTGCAATTTACAGTTCTGATAGTTAGCATAGGTTATGCTATAACCATAGAGCAAGAGGTAAATTTATAATTGTACTTATAAATGCTATAAATATTGTATATTTTTCTTTCCTTCCTTCTTTCTCTTTCTTTATTCTTTCTCTGTCCTTTTTCCTCCCTCCCCCTGTTCCTCCCCTCCCCCCTCCTTCCTTCCCAGCTTTTTTTTCTCTTTTTATTATTCTATATTACTTTGTACTAATTTTTAATTATATATGTATAACATTTTATTTTAAAAATTCAGAGAGAGGGGGGGGGAGGCAGAGGGAGTGGGGGAGAGAGGGGGAGAGAGAGAATGTGTTCTTGGGTGATTCCTGGTTGATTTCCTAACCCTGGTACTGGTAGTTATAGTTTCTGACTTTTATAATCCATAGTAGAACTAGACTGATAACATGTTAAGAGATTCTGGAAGGGTAAATTTATAGTTTTCCTTGGAGATACCAAAAAGAGGTTTGCTTCTCGCTCTTAGACTTATTACCAGACCTAGTAGGATACACGGATTCAAAGTAAAATATTTCATTTGTTCTGTTTCCCTAAACTTTTGCCAAAGTTTAGAAGCACATTCAAAGGTTTATATTGCATATACCCTGTACCTCCTGCCTCCTTTTCTAAATAAACCCTGGAGTAATTGCTACGATCTACAGTCAAGTTAGGATACTCAAAAATTTGTTCAGGATGCTTTACAAAGAGTTACTTTTCCCAATTTGCTGCCTGCTGAACAGGTGGTTTCATCTTCCGAACTTCCCAGCCAGAATTCTAAGCTTGAAATTCTTGAAGTGAAGAATCTCGCCTCTTTTCAGAACGTACCTGGAATGAGATGCCAAGGAGAACCCAGCATTGTCTAGAAAAGCCAATCGCTCACTCACCTTGTTTTTTTGGGCTGCTTCTTGTATGGAGAGAACAGTGTGAGTGTGATGCTTCTTGCTTTTGGCACACTGGGTGCAGATCAAAGCCAACTCATTTTGGCAAAAGAACTCCAGAGGTTTGTTGTGGACCTCACAGACAGTCGAGGTCAGTAAGCTAGCAGCAGCTCCAGCAGCATCAGCGGTAGCCATGGCTCCTCTGGGGGGAAAGAACGAGAAGAAGAAAAGATCTTCCCCCACTAACTTCCTTTTGGCCAAGAAGGTCTCCTCCCACCGTGTCCTCAGCGGGGCTCTTAACTGGCAAGGCCATCTTACACGCCTCCAGCTGTATCACAGAAAGGTGGTGTTTTCCCCCCGCCTCTCATGAAGGACTTTAACAATGTGAATTTAAGATGGCCGTATGGAGTTAAATCCGTTTCCCCAAACTTCTCACACTGCCTGCAAATGGAATGAGTGCTTCGGAAGCAGATCATGCTAGGAGGGTTCCCAAGTTAATAGAATAGAGTAGAGTAGAGTAGAGTAGAGTAGAGTAGAGTAGAGTAGAATAGAATAGAATAGAATAGAATAGAATAGAATAGAATAGAATAGAATAGAATAGAATAGAATAGAATAGAATTCTTCATTGGACAAGTGTGATTGGACACACAAGGAATTTGTCTTGGTGCAAATGCTCTCAGTGTACATAAAAGAAAAGATACATTCGTCAAGAGTCAAGAATCATCAGGTACAACACTTAATAATAGTCATAGGGTACAATAAGCAATCAAATCATACTAGGAAACAGTCAATATAAATCGTAAGGATACAAGCGACAAAGTTACAATCATACAGTCATAGGTGGGAGGGGATGGGTGATCAGGACTGATGAGAAGATTAACAGTAGTGCTGACTTTGTAAATAGTTGGACAGTGTTGAGGGAATTATTTGTTTAGCAGAGTGATGGCGTTTGGGGGGAAACTGTCCTTGTGTCTAGTTAATCTGGTATGCAGTGAAGTTAAATGAATTTAGTGTGTCATGGGAACTCAAATCATTCTTATGTGTACAATCATGGTGGTACTCTTTTGAAAGCCATTCCCTTGTCCTGTTTCAGAATATAGTGAAGTTTTAGAAGTTAACAGACTCTGACAGTCTATGGAGATTCTCAGTCATCCAGGTCATGGTTGTCCCAAAGGTGCTTTTTTCAAGAGGCAACTGGACTTTCTGGTTTTTCTTTGAAGACGTTTTGCTTCTCATCCAAGAAGTTTCTTCAGCTATGACTGGACGGAGTATAAATCCTTCCATTCCCTATCATCCAGTCAGAGCTGAAGAAGCTTCTTGGATGAGAAGTGAAACATCTTCAAAGAAAAACCAGAAAGTCCAGTTGCCTCGTGAAAAAGCACCTTTGACCTGGATGGCTGAGAATCTCCATAGACTTTCAGAGCCTGTTATCTTTTAACACTTCACTATATTCTGAGACAGGACAATGAAAGGGCTTCAAAGAAAAAGCAGAATGTCCAGTTGCCTCTTCCAAAAACACCCTTGGGTCAGGCTCTGAAAGCTTATCCCAACCTCTAGGTCAGGGGTGTCCAACTTTGCAACGTTAAGACCTACACACATCAACTCCCAGAATTCTTCAGCCAGCCACGCTGGCAGGGGAATTTTGGAAGTTGAAGTCCACAAGTCTTAAAGGTGCCAAGGTTGGACATCTCTGATCTAGATCAATATCTCCAAACTCTTCAGCTCCTTGCTCCCTCCATGGCTGGCTGAAGAATTCTGGGAGTTGATGCCTACAGATCTTAAAGTTGCAAAGTTGGACACCCCTGGTCTAGAGGTTGGGATAAGCTTTCAGAGCCTGTTTCCACTTGTTCATTGACCTCCAAGCACTGATTAAAGGAAAATGCAGGTTGCCTTTGACTTATAACCATTTGTTGGTGACAAAGTTACCACAGCACTGAAGTGTGAGGTCTGGTTGTAAGTCACTGTGACTTACAGCCAGACCTCACACTTACAACAGTTGCAGCATCCTCAGTCAGCTGATCAACATTTGGCTCTTGGCAACCAACCAGTATTTACGAGGGTTGCAGGGTCCCAGAGCCATGTGATTGCCATTTGTGACCCCCCCAGCTGGCTTCCAACAAGCAAAGTCAATGGGGAAAGCCAGATTTACTCAACACCTACACGATTCACTTAACAAAGGCAATGATTTGCTTAACAACTGCGGCAAAAAATGTTGTAAGATTGAGTACGGCTCACGTAACAATTGCCTTACTTAAGAATGGAAATTGAGGTTATAGGTCAAAGACTACCTTCTTTAATTAGTACTACTGTCAACCCTGAAGCTGGCTGGAGGGTGGCCATTTTCCTGTTCTGCAGGGGTTTTCTTTTCTTCAAAGCTTCAGTGCTGACACAGAATGGAGATGAGGGATGGGTGTGTGTGTGTCTAGAGATAGCTGGGATGTCATAACCCAAACAACATTCTTTCCCCTGGGAACCAAGATTGTGTGTGTGTGTGTGTGTGTGTGTGTGTGTGTGTGTGTGTGTGCAGGTGGTTGGGAGGTGGAGAATGAGGCCAATCCCTCATCTGGACTGTGTGCGGATTGGACCGTGTAACTGACACCGCTTGAGGAAGTGACAAACTTTTGTTTTTAACGGGGAGGCGGGGGGGGGAAACCCATGGGAACTCAGATCCGGTTTTCACCAGCATCGTGCCAATTTGACATGCCCTAATAGGATGTTCTTTGAGGAGACCTTGTGCCTCAGAGTTTTTGGGGTTGTGTTACTTGCGACCCTGATAACTACTATGCATAATAGTAGTAGTACATTGATACTTTTGAAGGCCTGTCGTTCCACTGATTCATTGTTCTCACCAACAATATATCTCTCCCTAATTCTAGGTTGGCTCTCTCTTTGACAATCTTTTATCCATTACTTTTTGTCTTGCTTTAAGGTGCTTTGGAGAATAATTGACCCTCTCCTCTTTGTGACAACCCCTCAAATATTGGAAGACTTGTAAAGGCTTTAAATAAATATTGGAAGATATCTCCAGCTGGTAGTGTTACGTGCACTCCCAAGTTTGGCTTATCGTACAGAGGTGGTATTCAGCAGGTTCTGACCAGTTCTGGAGAACCGGTAGCAGAAATTTTGAGTTGTTCAGAGAACCGGCAAATACCACCTCTGACTGGAGATTTTACAGTATCCTTCTTCTGCCACGCCCACCAAGCCACGACCACAGAATCGGTAGTAAATTTTTTTGAATCCTACCACTATTATCGTCACTTACATCAATACAATTCCAGTCAACAGCCACACTCAAACACTGATGCATAACAGGAATACACAAAAACCAGTGAATTTAAAACAGTGGTGGTACTCAATTTTTTTTTACTATCGGTTCTGTGGGCGTGGCTTGGTGGATGTGGCATGGCTCAGTGGGCGTGGCTTGGTGGGTGTGGCAGGGGAAGGATACTGCAAAATCCCCATTTCCACCCCATTCCAGGAGAAGGGTATACTGTAAAATCCCCATTCCCTCCCCATCCCACTGACCTGCTTTCCAGCTCCGTTCTCCTATGCAGGGCAACAAAAGTAGACCCAGACGATCAACTGGGACTCAGGAGGCAGAGAATAGATGGGGTGGGGCCAATCAGAGGTGGTATTTACCGGTTCTCCAGACTACTCAAAATGTCCGCTACCGGTTCTCCAGAAACTGTCAGAACCAGCTGAATAACACCTGTGATTTCAAGCAACAGCAAAACTACGCTATAAAACTACACATACAGACACTCATCCATGCTTATCCATGTCCCTCTCAATGAGGCTGTCAGGCATTAGCCAGAGGGACAGAAGCTGCCAGGTCTGGGTCCAAAGAAGACTGAGTCTTGAAGAAGACTCATTCTTCTTCAATACCTTTTTTATCCTTTAAAGTCCTTGCTTGTTTTGATTTGTAGATTCTCAAGACGGGCAGCTATTCTTGCTCTGTTGATGGGGTCTCAGGAGAGGTTTCCCATATGCTCGGGTCCAACTTCTTTTTGTCTGGCTGAGGTGAATTTTTCCTTGGCTTCCTTAGTGACTTGGGTCCTTCTTAACTATCTCTCTGAGGAGATCTTTTAAACAAGATTCCTGGCTTTTACCCACCCTGCTTAGGTGAATCCATACGCTGAGCTGCCAGGAGAAGGGAACAGCGAAGGAACAAGGGTTGACTCGAGAGTAAAGCCACAGGTGGATGCTGAATAGCCCCTCCCACAGGGAATAAAGAATAGCGAAAAGGGAGTGGTGTTTGCAGGAGACAATTAGTTCAATTCCTTAGGGTGAATATCTGTTCCTGAGTTCTTGCCAAGTATTTATTGTCTGTTACAGAGTGGCGTTTTGAAGATACTGGCCTGGCAGCTCTCCAAGCTTGATAAAGGACTGTAGTTATGAAATCTCTTGAAAGATTGATGACTGGGACTTTGCTGCAGAGGAATCCACTTTAAACTAAATAAAAGGGGTTTTATCGGGACAAGAAGTCAGCTTTGTGCTTTTGGGAAGCCTAGGTCAGAACACAGTTTGGAGATAACATTGTTCCCTCTACCAAAACAAAACGAGCAATTTGCTTCAAAGGACTCCTGATATTGTTTCTCTTCTTGGTCAATATTGTAAGGTTCTCCGGCTTGAACAGGGGGCTGGACTAGATGACCTCCAAGATCCCTTCCAGCTCTATTCTATTCTATGGAGATTCTCAGTCATCCAGGACATGGTTGCCCCAAAGGTGCTTTTTTCAAGAGGCAACTGGACTTTCTGGTTTTTCTTTGAAGACATTTCGCTTCTCATCCAAGAAGTTTCTCATCTTCAGAGCTGAAGAAGCTTCTTGGCTGAGAAGCGAAATGTCTTCAGAGAAAAACCAGAAAGTCCAGTTGCCTCTTGAAAATGATCACCTTTGGGATAGTCTAAGGGCAATTTAAAGTAGAGCAATGACCCAGCCACTGTATGTGCTAAGACTAAGTGGAGCAAGACTGC